GAGCGTTAGCCCTTCGTCGGAGCGAATAGAGGAATTGTGGGTTCCTACTAATAACGTAGCCCCATTTTCTGCCTTTAAAAGCACACACAACTTCATGCATGCATTCTAATACTTATTTTTAGTCACTTTCCATAACAACAGATTTCGCTACAGAGAACAAAATACAAACACAAACACAAACACATACAATGTTCTAATCTTGGCCTGAACACCTCACGGGCGAGAAACCGTCTTTGTGAGTGTTTGTCGAAATCTTCGTCTGGTACACGTGGTTCTCCCTCGTAGGGCTAAACCGTACTGGAATCTTCCATTCCTTCGTTATTACTTGAGTACGTCGTATCACAACTCTCGGTACGAAGAGTTTGTTGAAGGTAGGTATCCATCGCTATTGAAAATTATTTAAAGAGTATTTCTACGCTGACTAATACAAAATTACAAGAGAGAGAATTTTAATTGTCAGTTGAGATGTTTTCACAATTTTCTACGTCGCTAACTCGTGACCACTCTACGGGAAACTTTTATGACAAATAAGAGAATTGGATCTTTTCCCTGGTTCGGCTCAGAAATGATTTATTTTCAAACCTCAGTGTGATACTACGCAAAACAGTTAAAGTAGAATACAAATGGAAAAGGTTATTCCGAAAAAAAAAAAAAACAGTGTAAACTTTATACCATTTAGACCTGGATTATACGAGCATTTTGATTGGTTCTTTAATTTGATCTAATGGAGGATTGAAGTTTAGATGGTGTCACTATTAACAGTTTTCTTGTTACTTTACTGATAACATAAATCAAAATGATTTTTACAATTGTCAAGGGTCATTTCACAACAGAAACACGCTTGACCGTGGCTTATGTGTCATTTTGATGTCATCTGTGATCTATCACAACAACATGGAATGCATTTGTTCCTTAGATGAAGCCGGAAACGAAACGTGTACATGCATATGAGTCACTTTTTGTTTGGAGGAGTTTTGAAGGGCCACATGGTTTTCAGGGGGAAAGGAGGGGGGATCAGTCGTCGCTAAAAGCGTATTAAATAGTATTGCAGAAAATTGGGTGCCAATGAGGCGGGATCATTAAAGTCATACAGAGCTTTTGGGGAAATCAGGTATATTTTATTGTGACACAATCTAAATCATTCGATACCCACCCCCACCCAGCTCCTTCCAGGGACAGCAATCGTATAAGGTCTTCTCGGAATTAAATTTAGAAAAAAGGAAACTTAAATCTCATTTACGTGTTCTAATCTGCTTTTTGTTTGTTTCTTTGTTCTGTTTCTTTGTTTTTTATTATTATTATTATTATTATTATTATTATTATTATTATTATTATCATTATCATATCATTGTTATTATTATTATTATTATTATTATTATTTTCAATTATGTTTCCGAATCCTCATGTGAAATCGAGTCAGACGAGCATGTTAATGCCGGTATAGCCTTGTCGCTCCAACAGTGATACCTGAAATGTGCCTTGACGCTGGTTGTTGCTATGACGACATGTTCATGAACGAGCCAAATGTGAGGTTTCATACTCGAGGTGGGAAGACTTGGTGCTTTAAAAAGGAAACTGGAAAGCGAACTGGCTGCCGATTGAAGCTAGAATAATAAAGACGACGAGTTAAACTGACATGGCCAGATATATCTTATCAAAGCAATCCAGCAGTGAACAATGAATACGTTTTCGTCAGTTCCCGTGTTTTTTCCCATGGTGCCCTGCGTTGCGGGCACTAAAATGGTGGCAGCTGCTAAGCGCACTAACGGAGAAATTATTTCCTTTTTGAATACAAAAACAAGAAAACCACTCAAAACTTTATCAAAGCAATGGAAAGTAATAAAAATGTTCGCGAGGAAATGCGAACATCGCATGCTACAAAAAACGATCTTGGGTGCCAAGCCTTAATCGAAAATGAACATACTTGATCCATGCCATCTAAGCTATGTACTTGTGTCTCTTTCAATGATAACAACTATGACATCACGAATAGTTTGATAAAACAGAAATGTTCAGCCTTTGTCACTATGTGTAATTATTTAACGCAAGACAACTTCCTTTGATGAAAATGGAGTCTGGTGCTTGCATTTCTCAATTCCAAAATGATAGAAGTGTACGGGTTGCGGAGCAGGTACATATATAGCGATCAACGAGGTGTGTCGGACTTATTAACCTAAAGCGAATACAACAACATCATTTTTCACTCTAGGAGGAAGTCAAAACAACGAATTATCAACTAGCCTTGGGGAGCCAGCGGACAGGTAACAAAAAAGCCCTTACCTCTTCTCTGGGATGATTTATGATTATTGCTAACTTCAAATGTACAGTTTAGCAGGTGCGTTTCTTTTAATGACCTTAGACGATTTACACGATGAGCCTGTAATCTATTTTAGTTACCTTAACACGGTAACTTGATAAGAAGGGACTTTACAAACTTATTTATCGGTAGAGTCATTAAGTTATCCAATCAAGTAGCCTTTTTCAACATTATGTAAACAACGGCGAATATTTGATTTGACTTGAGCCACAAAATGGGCACTCTTGTGTCGATTTGGTAACAGTAAACACTTTAAAACTAACTCAAAACTAAAACTTTCTTTAGTGCTGCAATGATAATGCCTTAAATGATACGTTTCATATATCTCTGAAGGATGTTGTTGGCTTGACTCAGTCAAAAAACGTAAATAAATGGAAAGAAAAAATTTAAAGCTCGAACAATAAATATTCCTCTGGCCATTCGCTTATATCAGGGATAACCAGTTCCTCTTAAGTTTACTGAACAAGGCGAGGTTCCCTATTTTTCAAGGCAGTTTCTCTTACTCAAATTTGATAACGCTAGTTTCACTGTTAACAGACCTGATGAGTGTCAAAAACTTCTGTGGATGAAATTTGTAGGTCTCTGTTGATGACGTGTCTGGGAAACTTACCAGTGAAATAAAAAGGACTATTATATTGACGAAATTGACCATTCGGCGTTCCCATATATATTTTCATGACCTATGGTAGGTTTCTGTTTGTTTATTTGTTTGTTTTAATATAGAATGCAGCCGGCAGTCTTGGCAGAGGTTTTCCTTATTGCGTGTGGTGTCATGATCACTTCAGGTGCAAACTTTTGTTTTGTTGTAAAACATGTAACACAAATAGGAAAATAAAGTGAATAAAATCTTACTCTAACTTTCATCCGTCTTTATCATGAGTATTACACCTAAGCAGGAAACTTTTAATTTTGTCAAATTGAATGTCCTTTTTACCCAACAGCCACTTCTTCAAGTCCCCGTTAAGAGCAATACGTTCTGATAGGCACCCTCGTCTCTTTATAATTTGTAACTGTCATGCACATTTAAGATAGTGCCCTTTAATTGTTGTTAATTTGCACAAGGTGACGTTCTGCTTCCAGCATTACTTGTAATCTTAATCCCCTGCTAGTTTCCGTTTTAAATTGTAAGGCTTTTAACCAAAGTAGCACGCCTACCAGATGGAGGCCTTGGAAATTGGCCATCACATTTTTGTACACCTTGTTTCTTTTTCAGCTCAAGAATGGAAAAATGTCGGAAACTGCGGTGCAGGATTGAGTAAGCAGCTTCTTTTAGTACCCGATGAATATATATATATATATCTTATTAACCAAGCGCGAGGGCCGTACTGGGAGAATATCGGCCCGAGGTCTTGACAGTGCGGACCGAGCGCAGCGAGGTCCGTACAAAAAAAGACCGAAGGCCGATATTCTTCTAGTGCNTACCGAAGACAGAACTTCAACTAGAGATAAGAAACGCGCGTTAGCGCAAGTAACATTTTGAATATATATACACGCATCCCATCATTTACAGGCGTAGGAAGAGGAGTTATCAGCCACTTTAAGTCTGTAGTTGACGCTCGAGAGACTCACCTTGGTTGTGGCATCAGAATCAAACCAGGCGATGGAACATACGTCGTGGCTCATTATTCAATGGGTCCAGGGCTACAATTTAAGCTAAACGACTTCAGTTCAGCTTCAAATATTGGACTTCCTAAACAGCCTGGTAAGATACATTTTAGCTATCAATAGTGGTCCAGTAAAATTATATCAACATTGAGTACAATGAAATTCAGGAATGGAAGCAGTAATTAGGCCTAATTCTCTGCCACGTAGTGTACAGTGCACTCGGTGTATCTTCCCTAAAGACAATACCTCTTGATAAGAACTGCCATTCCATCTACTTCATTCTATAGAGTAAAGTGGGAATCTCAAATAAGAATAAATATCCAATGATTTCCAATTTTTAGATGATTGCAAAACTTTAATGTTATCTCGGTGGGAATACTGAAAAGTATATGATTACATATGAATAAAGGGGGCAAGATTCTAAATAAACTGTGGTGCTGCGTCGGTAGGAGTGTATAACAAGGTGGTTTTTTTTTATCAACTGGGTTAAAAATATTAATTGACCACCGTAGAGTTTTTAAAATGACGTTTCGAGCGTTTGCTCTTCGTTATTCGCTCTGACGAAACGTCAGCTTCTCAAATCTTTACGGTGACTAATTTGCATTACCACTCAGTTGATTAAACCAAAACTGCTTTTATATGATTACGTAGCTGCGATAAGCGAGCAATCAGATCAGAGGACATGATGACTTGCACCCTGTAAAAAAAAGGAAGACAACAGCAAACAAACCAACTGACAAACAAACAAAAAAACCCGGTCTTTGAAATAGAATTATGATAATAACAATAACACATATCACACACTAAATAATGAATATCATGATGATAGTCATAATTTTCAGAAATATCAAAAAAAGGTATATCAGCAGGTTGACTCACGTCGTTTCAGATCCACAGTGTCACCAAAAGTCCTTCGAGAGAGAGCTGTGTGGAGATTTTAAAAGTCCATTTATTACCCCTGACAAATGCTTAAATGCTGGATGTTGCTATGACGATATCTTCATGAACGAACCAGGCTTACAATGGCACAGTCCAAATGCGTCTTTATGGTGTTTCAATAAAAGGAAAGGGGCTGATACTGGTAAGTAGTGAAACTTTCATCAAAGATTCTACAGCAATTAGTTGCTTTTGAGCAAAAATGTAAAAGAAAAATACCTTCCCTTCCCTTCCGCATTAATAAAATTGAATTTTGTTTGTTTGTCTCATTATTATTTTTTTTAAGGGGTGGGGGGTAGATTTTGAAGCTGAATTGAAGGACTATTTAATTAACGAGCTTGGAAAGCTTATATAATGAACTAAAATGATCTGCAGCAAACTGAGAGGGGGCACATGTGAAAACATTGATAAAGTCTTGTCACTTCTTTAGCTTGATTGTTTAATAAAATTCTGAAGGTGTGATGACCACTGGAACGATGTCATTCCAGTCTGCTCCACCAGCCTCAAAAGAGAATGATTTCAAGATACTTCAAACGCAGTCTCAGTCTGAGGGTAAGTGCTATCTGGTAAAGCCTTAACACCCTCAGTTTGTATATCATCTGTTCTTCATACATTCCCTCTGGTATCGACAGGTAAATTTATCGCAGCACTAAAGGCTTGTAAAGTTGGCGATTATTTCCCTTACTCTCATGACTTCAATGTTTGATTCAAAGTTGATATTATTAGGAGAAATTAGGTTCTTGTCACCCTCGGCTGGGGTTTAAGGGTTGGGCGATGATAGCCCACCTGCGCTACAAAATGGTCGCTTTATTTGCATGTTGTCCATAACCACATCCAAAACTTTCACGTGCAAAATTGCTTACCAACCATCCTTTGTAAGGTAACTTTTTTTTTTAAGCGCCACCATCGTAATCGTCTCACCTTCATTATTATTATGATTCACAATACCAGAGACGATTCCCAGCTTTGTACCATGAAGCGCATATGAGTATTGTTACATCCCCTAACTGGGATAACAGTCCATTGCAAATCTCCCTCGCGGCATTTTATCAGGCTTCCCTATCAGCTCATTGATACCCTTTTGTAATCCTGGTTGGAGAGAGGCACAATGAGAGTAACGTTTATTGCCGAAGACCACAACACCATGACTCAGCCAGGTCTTAATTCCGGATCGCTCTACTCGGAGTCCGGTCCATCACTCAAACTATTAGGCCATATTGCTTCCCACACAATATGTGCGAATTGTCGTTCACTGTGGTGATACATCAAAGAGAAAATAGCAAGTCCATGACCATCAACACCTTCACTACCACCTTATATATCATCATCGTCATTATCAACATCATCATCATCATTATCCCAAGCATCATTGTTGTATTCGCCCATGTTTCAGGAATTGGTTGAAAACGATGTCATCTCGTTGCTATAAGTCGTTTGAGAAAAGGAGTGATTTTCCCTAATACATGCATGTCATTGTAAAAGGTATTGGCCTTTCACATCATCATCATCATCATCGTCATCGTCACCGCCATCAAACGTTACCATCCTCGATACCAAAATCGGTATAGTTGTCTCTTTTGTTACACATCATCGAAGCATCTTCCTAACCATTCATGATCGTAAATACAGATCTTGCGGTTATACTCACTCTGAAATCATAATCGGGAGGAGCACTATCACCAGCACATTAGGATAACTACAAATTTCAACGTTATTCCTTGTCACTGCCACAAATTCAATAACTTGATAAAGAAACGAACTGAATGCAATTTGCTTCATTTCTCACAGACAAAGCAGCATCTGCCAGCGTTATATAATCTACTTGCTCGTTCTTGTTGGTGTGTTTTCTTTTGTTAATGTTGTGCTAATTTCCTCAGGATCAGTACAAGTTCGTCTACCATGTCCAGAAGCAAAAGATGTCCTCAATCAGGTCATTGGTCTCGTAAACGCTGTAACTAAACTTGCTACTTCAAAAGGCTGCGGAAACGCTACTGGTAAAAAGCATTTTGTTTTGCATGCGTCAGTTGAACGTAGCAATGCATGGAAACTTTGGTGACACCAGCATCAGCCATCAGTTTTGGTTTAGTTTTGCTTGAGATTTATCACAACCTCTGAGCTTATTATTGTCGGCGTCCACATTTTTGGCTGGTTTCATTTCGTTTTATTGTTGTCCAGCGAGTGTATACGAGTTAGCATGCAAGTTTTTTCTTTACTGAAACAATCGTTGGAGGATAAACTTGGACTGTCTACTTTCCCCGGCCATGTATAATTTCAAAGCAAAACTGGTGGCTAAAATCGCAATTTTGGTGGATAATTTTCAGTAGAAGTAGGCAAATGCCTTAAATTTCTGGTTCTGCTCAATTTCGTTCTGAATGGTTACAGGTCTTGGATGATATTCTGTAGATAGTTATTCTAAGGAAATTCTGCCCCATGTAAAAGGCTGCTCTTACATGGACAGTTTTTTGTTGTTTTCGCCTCTGTCGCCTTTCATTGTTTTGTTGTTTTTGTTTTTGTCACGTCATTGTTTCTTTGTTCGTAAGGCTAAACACAAAATTCTTTTACAATACGCACTACTTTGGTTTTAAAGGAAATGGCTACTGGAAATGACTCGGTCTTTTCTACAAGTTACAAACTATTTCTTTCTTTACTTTCTCTTCTGACATCAGGTAAGCTTAATCAGTTCGGCATTAAACTAAAAAACTAACACAAATGGCCGGCCATATAATACCTCTAACATGGCGTGGGGGAAGTATTTCGACACGGTCAGAAAAAAACTCTGAATCAAATATGATGAAAATTTGGATTCTGTGTCTGTGGCATTGATCAAGCAGGGCCTAAGTGATGGTTATCAGCATGCATTTCAGATCACGTTTTTCTAAAATATCTTATAAAAATGCTATATCTGAGTGGAGGGCGCAGGGTCCAGCCTAATGATTTTCTATCACTACATGTACCCTTAACTTTCTCCTGATGCAAAAGCTGGTCCTCAATCTGTATCACAACCACCCTCAAAACCAACCATTGAGCCAACAGCAGCACCATCTCCATCACCATCTCCAACACCTCCAGCAAGTTCCACAGCAGAACCAACCAGCGGCCCTGCCACCCAGCCAGCCGAAGGAACACCATCAAGAGCACCATCTACAGCATCTGCAGCAAGTTCCACAGCAGAACCAACAAGTGGCCCCACCGCCCAGCCAGCCGAAGGGGAAAAACAGGGTTAAAACTTTTGAAATTATGTTTGTTACCCTTTAATCTTATAGAAAGCACGCAGAAGAGTAACTTCATTGACCGAAACACATGACATGTCTTGGGCAAAGATCACAATCGAGCTTGTAATTTTATAAGGTCGGAAAGAAAGCTTAATGATGTCATATTTCACGGCCTAATGGTCACGAAAATAGGATTCCGTTTCTGTGTCATTGACTAAAATAAGGTCTATATATACAATATTTATCCCTGATAATTCCTTATCACGTTTTCCTTTTTACATTAAGAATATTAGCTAAGAGCTATAAAAGGGGAAGTATTAAAAACGAATAATTTCTGTTTGTGTTTAGAAGGTGGAGAATCCTGTTATGCGAATAGTTGCTACATGATTTCTGAAGCAGGAGAATCTTGGGATGAGAATCGAAAGAACTGCAAAGCATCTGGAGGCGATCTAGTTTCCTTGGAAACAGAGGCTGAGTGGCAGTTTGTCAATGGCGAAATTCAAAAAATGAAACTTCAGGGAGCCAATGAATGGCACATAGGTTTGAAAAAACAAGGCGATTGGAAATGGGTCAGTGGTAGTCCGATGACCATTAAAAAATGGCAGCGTTATGAGCCATCCGGTGACGGAAATGTTGTTGTAATGTCCAAGGATTACCCACCTGGAAGTCAAGGGCTATTTAACGATGTTCCTGGTGAATTTCCCAAACCTTTTATATGTGAATTACCCAAAGGTAAGATGACTGAAACTTTCTTACTCGCGCTTCTGCAGAGGTATTCGTCTTTGCACTTACTCGGATTTTATGTGGCTACACTTACTCTGTCTTCCACCAAATTATTTATTTTGTTTCTTTGATTACTTTACTTTCCTGTTCTCTCGTGTCCTCAGAATAACTGGTATCCAAAGGTCGTTGCCAAGTGCCCTAGAAGTATCATATTTTTTTCTAATTCAGGAGCTGGTCCTCAGCCTGGACCTCAAAATCCCTCAAAACCCCCCATGGGGCCAACAGAAGCACCAGCTGCATCATCGTCTCCAACATCTTCAGCAAGCTCCGCTGTTCAACCAACCAGTAACCCTACCACCCAGCCAGCTGGAGGAGCAACACCAGGTTGGGACTTTTTAAACCATGTTTGCTATTTTCTAATCTAATAATAAAAGCCGACCAGAAATGCGGACATGCAGACAAGCAAGATCAAACGCTCGAAACGTCCGCTTTTTTATTCGTTACGGTGGCCAATTTACTATTTCAACTTAGTTGATATAACCAATTACCTTGTTACCCCCACCGACGCAGCAACACAGTTTCTTTAGAAACTTTCAGCATTTATTCATTTACAAAAGACTAACAGAATGTTTAATTTGGATATACCAACAAAGTTGAAATGGTAAATTGGCCACAATAACAATTACAAAAGCTGACGTTTCGAGCGTTAGCCCTTCGTCGGAGGGAATGTTTAATTCGCTGACTGTTTAACTGACTGAATATTGATGCGAATGAACGACGAGATAAGTGACTGACTGACAGGATACGCAAGCTGTTCATGCAAAAGACTAACTGACTGAGTGACTAAATTACTGACTGCCTCTCTTACAGTTTAACCACTTAGGGGAAAAACTAAGAGACAGTCTGACCAACTGGGTGGCTAACTCATGATGTCTGCCCTCTTGACTGATCGTTTTACTCATTGAGTTCCTCGCCGATTAGCAGACGACAGAACAAACATGATAAAGCATACGGACCTGCATAGGGAGAATCTGGAACTACATGTGGCAGTACAACACTACATGTAATGATACTTAAAAATGGAAAAAGTGTAGTCAGGAGATGTCATAAGTTTTATGGAAATTGGTTTCCTCTTACTGTTGTTATTTCTGAAACAGACGTTTCGGCTAATGCTTAAGTCTTCATCAGTGATATGAAAAACGAAGATCGTTATCATACGCATTGTAAAGTTAAAAACGTGATCACGCGAAGGTTGCGCGCGTAACTATGTATTTCATGCTCGCGCGAGGTCTTTATAGGCTTCTGGAAGTACGATGTGATCGATCCCAGCATTCGGATCCAAAGAGTGCTAGGCTTCAAGGAAAAGTCTCTCGTGGTAATTAGATTCGAAACCAACGACCCTGACTTTTGTAAAGTCCATGTTATGGTCGAAAAGGTGAGCATGGCCTGCGGCTTTGGAGTTTAAGTCAAATACATAGTTACGCGCGCAAGCTTCGCGTCACGTTTTTAACTTTAAATAGCGTATGATAACGATCTTCGTTTTTTCATATCACTGATGAAGGCTTAAGCATTAGCCGAAACGTCTGTTTCAGAAATAACAACAGTCAGAGGCAACCAAGTTCGATAAAACTCATGTAATGATACTTTTTTTTGTGCTTCTTTTGTTTGATTGTTTTAATTGTTTGTTTGTTTGTTTGTTTTTGCTCTTTCTGCCAGAAATGACTGGATTTGAAAAAGACTGTTTAAAAGCTCACAACGAATATCGAGCGAAACATGGCGTTCCTCCCTTGAAATGGAGCGCTGAGCTGGCTGCAGATGCACAGGAGTGGGCTAATGAACTCACTGTTAAAAGTAGGGATCGTTCATTTTTACTTTAAGCTACGCACGAGGGTTAATCTTTATTCGTAACGTTATTGCTTTCTTTGCAGGACTATTCTAATAAGGCCTTAAACAGCTGTCGAAAGAGTAAAATCTAAAATCCATACTGTCGCCGCTCAACGGCATCATCCGGGATATCTCTGATGATGCCGTTCATCGGCAAAAGCTTGAACTTTAAATTTTATTTTTGAGACAGCAGTTTAAGGCGTCATTGGAACATTTGTATGTTTTTAGCTATGCTGCTGAAGAACAACATGAACAAATTATTATCATCATTATCATCTTTATTATCACCTTCACGATAATTATTATCAGTATTATCATCATCGTTAAATATTCTTATATCAATTATTATTACTATATTATCATCGTTGTTACCATTTCTGTTTAGCACAGCTTCTAAAAGCACCCCATATCTAATTGAAAATATGTGCATGTCATATATTTGAACTGTGGATTAGTAACTGAACGAGAGTGATCATCGCAGTGCTCTTTACTAGCTATGCAATAGTGAAAATAAAGCCCTGAAAAAACCCTGCCTGCACGGGAGTTGAACCCATGACCTCTACCGGTGCAATACTCTACCAGTTGAGGAGCTGACCTGAAGTATTTTTCAGACTTCATTTTCACAAATGGGAGCTGGCCTGAATTATTTTTCAGACTTCATTTTCACAACGCAGAAGTAGTTTTGATTGACGACAGAAACACTTACTATTTGAATTATTGCTGCATTGTTATCAATCGACTTTTTCAAACTACTTGCAGATATGATGGAGCATGACATGGACAGTATTAACAACAAAGGTCAAGGCGAAAATCTGGCTTATTTCCATCCGGGTAACCCAGATGATATGCCCACCCAGTGCCAAGGTCCAAAGACACAAAAATGTGTACAGTGCCGTGAAATGGTCGCTGACTGGTACGCAGAAGAATCGAATTTTGAATACAACACAGGAAAGAGCAAAGGAGGCGTGATTTTGCACTTTACCCAAGTTGTCTGGAAGGAGACCACAGAGCTGGGGATGGCAACAGCTACTAGTGCTACTAAATGGTTCTCTGTTGCACGTTATAAACCACGTGGAAATATGGGATATCCAGCAGATTATATAGAGAATGTTCCAAGGCCTCAGGTTAACGTTTAAAAAAAGTTCTGATTGGGAAAAAGGTCCTCTTTCGACCATTACTTAATGTATTCTCAAATTTGAACGGAAACGTACGTCTTGACGGGTAATAATTCAGGTACTGCCTGCAATGGATTAATTTTTAAAGAAAAGCTTGTCTTTCGACATATGACTTATGAAATATATTATTAATTATGTCAATAAACTTCATCCTTGTCAAAGAATAGAAACTGTTCTTTTTAACTCGATTAATCCTCTATTATTTTGTGTTATTTCAGGTTATCGCGTTCGATTTAAAAATATTCTATGTTATAAATATATCTTATTAACCAAGCGCGAGAGCCGTACTGGGAGAATATCGGCCCGAGGTCTTGACAGTACGGACCGAGCGCAGCGAGGTCCGTACAAAAAAGACCGAGGGCCGATATTCTTCCAGTACGGTCCCGAGCAAGCTTGGTTATTAAGAGATATATTATACGACTGAAGTTGAAAGGGACACAAGTGTGGTATCATTCGGGACCATTCGGGACAGTGCCCGGTCCAATACTTAGAGAATATTGGACCGGCAATAGAGCATTTTGATTGGTTCATTTGGCCCTCTGACTGCCCGTGTCGTGTAATAATTACAGGTAGTGATAGCTACAAAATGGTCACTTATTTGTGCTTTGCCCATAATCACATGAAAAAAATTCACATCAGAAACTACTTACCAACAATCCTAGATTAGGTGTGTTTTTTTCGAAATCACTATATTCGTAATCTTCTTGTCTTCATTACGCCGTGGAACCAATATCAAAGACGTTTCCAAGTTTTGTAGCGTGAAACGCAAAAGGGTATAATTAGATTCCCTGATCATGAGTATGCCAGTCTATTGAAGATTAGCCTAGTGAACCCTTTGGGAAGCCTCACATTTCGTGAGGCTTCCCAAAGGGTTCACTAGTACCCGTTTATACTCTGGCCTGATAGAGGCACTATGAGAAAATTTTATTTTCAGAAAACATATCACAACTTCCCAATAACCATTAGGCCACAGCGCCTCCCACACAATACGTGCCGATGATCTTTCATCCTGGTGATACACCATGATTATCACAACCTCAGTTCACCCTGACATCATAAACGCCACAATCATTATTATTACTATTATTATTATTATTATTATTATTATTATTATTATCACAAGCATCATCATCCTTATTGTCGTCTTCGCCCATTTTTCAGGAACTGAAGGGTGACATGCCTTTGCTAGTTAATAGTTTGAAAAAAGAAGTAATTTTTGGTGTGCACGTATTTCATTGAAAAGGTGTTGGCCTTTCACATTATCATCATCATCATCCTCATCATCATCCTCATCCTAATTATCATCATGGTTATCGTCATCGTCATCGTCATCGTCATCGTCATCTGTGGGGTTGTTTATAGGAAGAACAGACACACACACACAAGTGAGGTAAAACAGCTCTTGTTTAATCGATGTCCGACAAAACGTAACAACCGGAAAGCATGGTCTCTAAAGTTTTGTTACCATGGTATTTATGACGTAAATGTGGACCGGAAGTAAATAGAACGGTAACACCGATACCGTTACAGTCATCGTCATCATTGTCATCGTCATTGTTATCGCCATCAAAGTCTATCATCGTCATCGCCAGAATCTTTACTGTTGTCTCCTTTATCACATGTGACAAAGGATCGTCCTGACCGTTTATAGTACACAGATTTTAAGCTATGCCACTATGTCCGCACTGAGATCGTAATTGGCCAGGATACAATTACAAACACATTGGGATGGCTGCAATTTTCAAACTTAGTCGCTGTCACTGCTACAACTATTTACATAAAATAGAATATTCCACCGTTATATACGAGCTTGTTATTGTGAATGTTATACTTATTTTTTCTTGATCAAAACAAGTTCGTTAACCAAGTCTAGAAGAAAAAGATGTCCATAGTAACGTAATTGGTCTTGTAAACGCTATGACTAAACTTGCTGCCCCGAAAGGCTGAGGAAAAGCTTATGGTAAAATGCATTTTGTTTTGCATGCGTTAGTTGAACGTTGTCAAGCATGAAAAGTTTGGTGACACAAGTATAAGCCACCTGTTTTGGTTTTGTTTTGGTCTCAAGTTAACACAACCTCCTACTTCATCATGGTTTCGTCTTCATTTCTTTGGTTCGTTTCCTTTTGTTTTATTTTTGCCTGTACAAGAGAGAGACAGCCTATTTTCGCCACTGAAACAAAAAATGGCTCGCCATAGCATAACATGGTATAAAGGAAATAGATAAACGAACTCGCAAAGAACTGTGAATCGAATAAAACACCACAGCCAAAACGTTACTAAACAGAAATTCAGTGTCTTTGTCATTGATCAAGTAGGCCTTTTCACTATGATACTAGTAAGCATTTCTAATCACATTCTTTCTTGTAAGACTAATGCTTTGTACAAGGGATGCACTACAATCGAATCTTTTGCAATCTCTGTTTAGAAGGAGGGCTTTTTTATCCTATATTTTTTCTAATTTAGTAGCTGGTCCTCAGCCTGTATCACAACAACTCTCAAAACCTACCATAGGACCAACAGCAGCACCAGCTCCATCTCCATCTTCAACCAGCAACACCAGCAAGTTCTACAGGAAAACCAACAAGGGGCCCTACCACCCAGCCGGTCAGATGAGCCAAACGTTGAAATTTTTGAATACTACACTTTAATCTTACAAAATCAGCTAACCAGATCAAGTGAACCTATCAGCAGAAAGACATGACATGTTATTGGCCAAGTTAACCGGATCGAGTTCGTTCTTTGCATCACGGCCAAAACGTGACGAAAATAGGGATTCCGAATTGTGATTGATTAAATAAGCTCCTATACGATGCTTATCATTATGAGTTCCTAATCCCTTCTTGATGGTTTTCAAAAATACTATTTAAATCTGTAAATGTTATTCATTTAGGCTGTATTAAAAAGAAACAATTTGCTTTAGAGTTTATTTGCTTTAGAACAATCTGTTTAGAGGGCGAAGAACCCTGCTTTGAGAATACCTGCTACAGGATTTCTGAAACAAGGGAGTCTTGGGACAAGAACCGAAAGAACTGCTAAGCATCTGGAGGCGATCTACTTTCCTTGGAAACAGAGGCTGAGTCGCAGTTTGTTAATGGCGAGATTAAAAAATTTAAACCTCAGGGTGCCAATGAATGGCACTTAGGTTTGAAAAAACAAGGAGATTCGAAATGGATCAGGAAAGTCCGATGACCATTGAGAGGTGATAGCGTTATGGGCCATCTGGTGACGGAAATGTTGTTATGTCAAAAGATTACCCACCTGGAAGTCAAGGGCTATTTAACGATCATCCTAATCAAATTCTTAGAGCTTTTATATGTGAAATACTTAAAGGTAAGCTAACTGCAATTTATTCCTATGGGTTACTGCTAAAAGATCCTTGTCTGAACAATTCCACGAGAAATGCGTTAAGGACATTTGAACGCAAAGTACTAAAATTGGTTTCGGGGGATAAACATGGAATATATCTTACTTGAAAGGTTATTCTTAGTTTCAATGGCTTGGTTTCAATTCTTAGTTTCAATGGGTAATGTAAAGGCGCCAACATGGCTGCCACGTTTCCTGGAGCTCTTCGCCTATTTACCATTTTTGGTGTTCATTTCGTTTTGAATGCTGCCCAAGAATCCTACAATTGTCACTATAGGGGAGCTGAAAGTCCTTGGGTTTTCAAACATATTTTATCCAAGTTCACTACTCCTAAATTTAGAGTTCGCCGGCCGGTGGTGTTGTGGGGCGTCCATGGTCTAACCTTGCTTGCAGTACCGGAGAAATATATCACGCTAGATATCACTATAGATATGGACGTCGAGTCACAACCGGGTCCAGAGACAGACAGGAGTTTCGGAGGAGCTAATAAGAACTACCCGATGTTAATGCGAACTAAGCCAGCGTCTTTGAAATGCTCTGAACTCTTGTCTCTCCGAAACAAAGCTTTCAAGCCATCTCCGGCTGTTCTATCTCAGTTCAAGTCACTCGGCATTCTGAAGTACCGTAGGCAACATAGTGCTC